GATCACTAGGTCTGATATCAGACACAAAGGTGTCATGAACTGGCGAAAGATATAACTGCTTAATAATTTGAGTAGATAGAAACCGCTCAGGTTGATCTGTAGTATTTCGCTACCCAGATAAGAGTGATCTAAGCACTGAACGGCTGTTTCGCTAATCTGGGGCCGAGGTTATCAGTGGTGTAACTAGACAAATTCATCTGACAGAACCGAGCTAGTTCAGATTACATAAATTTGATCAGCTGGTTTCTATGGATCAGTATACCTAAAGTCAGATGATAGATCTACAAATAATCCGCAAGTCAAATAATTTGGAAATAATTTACAAGTCAGCCTTGAAAATTCAAATAACCCGAAGTTATTCTGCCGTATGAGCTGAATTTGTCCAAGTGCACCACTGATGATCTCGGCCTCAAACCAGCGAAACTGCCATTCGGTGTTTATGTCACTCTCATCTGCCTGTCGGAATAATACAGATCAGTCTGAGTGGTTTCTAACTATGCAAATAGTCCAGTAATACTAATTTTTGGTTTTTAATCAGTTTTTAAATACCCAGACAAAGTTGGTATTCGATGGTTTGAAAAAATGTGAGCATTAAATAAATGATATTCATTATGAAATATAAATACCGAATATTCAATGTAGAAGTCACTTCATATATATAACTAAAGACATTAGTCAAAGCTTGTTCGTTACTGAGTGCTAATTTACTCATCTCTCACATTGTGCATAGCGAGGATCTGTAATGAAAGGACAACTTACGCTTCATCGCTTTCAGTTACATAACCCAGGAAAAGGCAGATTTGAATGACACTGCAGACCAAATTGCAACGCCACACTGCGCATCATCATAGAACAGAGCATGGATTGGCAGTCAACTGGATGTTTACCTCAACTTTATCGATTCTGAAAAGGCCTTCGATAGTTTCAACTGGGCAATGATTTGGCAACTGCTTCAACATTACGCAGGACCACAAAACTTTATCAACCTCATTCAACAGCTATATGCTATATATATATATATATATATATATATATATATATATATATATATATATATATATATATATATACCAAATAATAAAGGAATTGAAAACATTAAATTTCATTAAAATATTATCAGTTGGAAGGCTTTTGTGAATTTCTGATGGGATTCCCGGTATATTGTGTTAAAAAGTCCTATGCCTGGACGGAAGAACTAAACAGTTCTCTGGGGATTCATCATTTGTACAGCCGATTTCAATAACTGACGAATGTCCTCTTAATAATGCTAAATGTCAAAAACGTCTTGGAATTGATTAATTAAGTAAGACATTATGTGTTTTGAAGATATTTTCGAATATTTTATGACAAATGCATATAACTGAGAAAATAATTAAAAATAGTAATAAACGTAATTAAAACAAGAGTTATTGAATTCATATATATTCAAACAGGACTCGTCAGGCTTTTACTCTACATACATGATTTTTTATACTGTTTGTTGTCCAATAAAGGAATACATACACACTGAGTACAACAGACTAAGACATTGACTGAGATATGACAACACAAAGTGAATCATTTACTCATATCAAACAAAGCGAGCAATATACTGGGAGGGGTAACATATGGATAGTGAAAAATAAAAGGTCTACTACTCGATTACAACATTTCGAAGAGAGCAATTAGTAATCAACTAGATAGCTTAATAAAGTTGCATACTAAGAGAACATAGGTGTTAGGTAAACAGAAATACTGATGATAATTGTAGTGATACGAGTGAGTGATAATGATGATAACGATGATGATGATAATGAGAATATGAATATTGAATAGACTAAAAATTACGCCATTTTGAAAGGAGGTAGATGAACATCAATTAAGAAGCGTAGTAAGAGTGTAAAACTAAAGGAGTCTGTAATAGTAGGTGGACGATAACAATGATGATAACGATGGAGATGAGTCATTTGGCTAGTAAGTGAAGAAGTTCCATGGGAAATCAAAGTGTATGAGAATGATAATGAAGAGGTCAATATGCAAATTATAGGAAGAAAAAACTGTGAATGCCGATTGGGGACATCACGCGTCAGACCAGGCCATCGAGTGAAATCCGAAGGGGAAACGACAAGTTGGGCGTCCGAGGTGAATGTGACATGGAGGAGATGATGTGAGGAAGAAATGAAAGCTTGTTGGTAGTGGTGCAGCGAGTTTGAGAGGACGGCATAGAAGAGAGTGGAATGGCGGCGTGCTACTGAAGTGGTATATTCCACTAGGAACCCAAGGGAAAAATTATTATTATTATTATTAAAGGAAGACATGAAGTGGCAAAATAAGACATTTATGGATGGATACAAAAATAAGTAAGTTTATAATACTTCAACATCTCTACGATGGTAGATTCAGGGTGACTACTATTTCTTTCTGTACATATAGGCTCAGTTTACGAACTTCAGTCGTACATGCTTTTACAATTGCAAGCATTTTGTTATTCTGCTATTTGGTGACAAGTGAGAAGGCCTCAGTGGTGTCAACATGCCCTGTCGATAATCCATTAAGCATTTCTTAATCGAACTCCACGGTATAGATGTATGTCATAGTCATAGTATGGGTCGAAATTCTGCTATCATTTATTCTTAACTGTTGATGAAATATATTTTCAATTATTAAGTATATTGGGAGTTAGATGGTTACTCCTTCTGTATATATATATATATATATATATATATATATATATATATATATATATATATATATTAATTTGAAGACTCAAGACGATTTCTATTGTCGACACTGGAATTCTAATACTGTCTTCCTCATCACTCTACTTACGTATATTTAATCCAACACTGTTGTGAGGGAACTGAACATTCATTGTGTATATTAGCAGTTTAACCTTCAATGTCTTTAACAATGAGAGTTGTCAACTTTCTTCTCACTAATTTTCCAAATTTATTTTCGATGGTTTCAATAAGAGAGAAAAGGCATTGTATGGCAAGGCATACTATTTAGTCAATGAATCAAATATATGAACTAGTTACGTCCGTAATGTGATGAAGTAGTTTTCAGATGTTTATACTTCATGTAGGCTAAACTCACCAGCATTCGTGTTGTCAATGGGTGTTGAAGTGTCTGCTAAAAGAGAGATGACTACACTATCTCGTTTCTGATTGGCTTATCTCAAAATGATTCAACTATCAACATTGTTTCCATCACTGTACACTGTTGAGCATAAAACTTGTTTTCTGCACGCATCCCTTGATTACCAAAAAAAATTACAAATTCTCTTATGACAATGAAAATTAATGTTTCTCTTCTCCGGAAGTCATTTCTTATGCTACTTACAAGAAAATTCAATCAAAATGTGTTTCTATAGCATTGTTTATTGCTGATGGGAAAATTTGATCAGCCTATGAATTCTGATTAAACTCGTAAAAATGTTTACTTGTTTTACACATTCTGAAAACAACTGGCCTGCTAACAATACTACTTGAATACGGAAGGCTCACACTCCTATTATGTTCTGTATGGCAAAAAATAAAATTCCTTAGGAACTAGTTTTGGAAAAAGTTATCAAAGCAGTTAGCTATGAATAACTAATTCCGCCTTATGTCACTCTGATGATTCAGTTGGTGGTAATAATCTCAAATAAATCTGTGACAACGAAAGGGAAATCCTTATATCAGGTAGTAGAAGAAAAGTATACCAGAGAAGAAAATTTGTTTCGTGACAATTTAGCTTTCAAAAGCTGTACAACCAAAACTAAACAAATGATATTATTGTATCTTGGCAAGTTGTTCCCGAATACATAGAGTAGTCAAGACAAGGAAAGGAGGTATGGAAACGGAAAGGGTTATTACAAAATAAGTATGAAAATGAATCAGTTAACTTAAAGGGTCTAGAAAAATGAGGGATTGTAATTATCAAAAAATGTGTAGTGGGAAAAATATCATTAAGCGATTACAAGAGTTTGATAATTTGGATTCAGTGAGACTATTAACGAAAGTCAGTGTTTCAGTACAGCATAGATAATGTATTCGAAGTCTTATGGAAATGTTAGGAGATACTGTTTAAATTACTTTGAAAGAACCTCCTAGTCCGGTTAGATATCTAGAGGTGATGATTTATCGAAGAGAAGAACAGCTGATATTCCTAACCTCTTTTCTAGATGGCCAAGATTGACAGTACTCAGAAATATGCTTGAGAACGTGATACTGTTTACAGACAATAGTTATCATTGCTCAAAGACAAGCAGTTCATCTTCATACATCTTCAGTCAGTTATCTATCTTCCTAGCTTTCACCTCTTATTGCATTAAACCTTTCCAGCATACACCATAATTATCCTATCGGTTTGAAATGATTACTTCGCTAAAGTAAAGTAGATCTGTACAGCCTATGCAACTAAGACCGTAGCAAAGTTCATGTAAGTTACGCGATTATCATGCACTGGTTATGTTCAGTCAGTGTATATTACGGAATTAAGTACACTCAGGAGGAAGTCATGCACTCATCAGCAACTCGTCTCTAACCTCAAGAAAATGATGACCACTCACAGATTCCAACCTGCATCAACAGGTTCTGAATTATTAGAACTATGAATGGCTTCTTACAGATATGAATTTCATATATAGTCACCAACTGTGTTGCTTAATCTTGAGTGCCAACCGGATGTGAAGATAAAATTACTCAATAATTATAAAAACTATTATTTGAAGCATCCCATCGCTAAAAAGAAAACAAACGTAAAGTTTCCCATCATTTATTTATTTGCTTCACGTTGAGTTGATGCCATTCTAGAAGTGTATATTTCTTTTCACACTAGTAATGAATTGTTTGTATGATTGATTAAGACAAAAAATTCGCTTGTTCTACTACTTCGTAATTAGTATCTGAAGCCAAAAATGCTAACTAATAAAAAAGATTCGTCCGAACAATGTGATTGGCTGATCATGTTATCCAATCAGAAAAGTTTATTAAAGTGAAGGCAAATAAAATTTACATAGTTGATATCAGACGAAACTTGAAATAAACGGAAAAGCTGCTAATCACTATAAAATCATGGTGAAATGTATAACATCGATTTAGTTAAACTGTATCCATGCACAGTATTTACGCCACTCGTTATATCCCATCTTGAAAGGACTTTTAATCTACATACATTCAATATAAAACGTACTGTGAAGCGCTAACTTCAAGTAAGTATATTGTTCTTTATTTGCATCTTTCCCAAATTGATTTATTAGTTGTATTTTTGGAAAAGTATATTTTTAAATCAACTGAGTTATGAGACGAGTTCTTTTGAACCACAATTAGTTTTCAAGTTGTTATTCATCGAAGACTGACATCACTTGGAGGAACAAAGGAAACCTGGGAGCACTGGACAGCCGTTTCGTCCGACTAGTCTGGGACTCCTCAGCAGTGCGCACTCACGACCCCACCAGTAGGGATCGAACCCGCGACCTTCAGGTTCCGCGACCAGCGCGTTACCATTGAGCCACTGGGTCAGAATCCAATGCTCCATATTTCCAACTTCTGTTAGCTCACGATATAGCGCAAACCGCCACCCAATGTCATCGTTGAGTATTTGTCCTCACGACCATCAGGCTTTGACTCCACCGGTCACGACTTGTCATTGGAACTTCGGGAATACTTCTCGAAGCTAGTCACCAACGAGCACTAGTTCAATTAAATTTTGAGGGGTTTGTGGAGATTTGGAAATATTTCAAGTTGTTATTCATCGAAGCCTGATGGCCGTGAGGACAAATACTCAACGATGACATTGGGTGGCGGTTTGCGCTATATCGTGAGCTAACAGAAGTTGAAAATATGGAGCATTGGATTCTGACCCAGTGGCTCAATGGTAACGCGCTGGCCGCGGAACCTGAAGGTCGCGGGTTCGATCCCTGCTGGTGGGGTCGTGGGTGCGCACTGCTGAGGAGTCACGTACTACGAGGAAACAGGTGTCTAGTGCTCCCAGGTTTCCTTTGTTCCTCCAACTGATGTCAGTCTACGATGAATAACAACTTGAAATATTTCCAAATCTCCACAACCCCCTCAACAATTAGTTTTACCTAACTTCTAGGTCAATTGATGATGCACAACTGTCTCTTCTTCATAATCACACTAACTATCCAGCCGGATCTTGTCTAAATCTAAATCGATCTAGATTACAGAACGGAAGTGTCAACTGAGTGTCAATAAAACTAACTGATCAATAGTAGAGTCTTGCAGCTTCATTGTTCGATTACTGGCTGGTTCAAATCTTGTAAAGAAAAGACTTTTCGGCATGTTAAACAACCCAAGAGGTTAGTTAGTTAGTTAGCCATTTCAACACATTAGTAGAGTAGCTTTCATCCCGGATCTAACTTAGACGTTTCAATAGTGTGATTTTATGCTAATTGTAAATGTCCAATTTGAATTGCAGTTATACAAATGAAGCTGTGTGATGGATAATATTATCTGATGGTATTTTGATCCTTCAAAATTTTCAAGGCTTTATAAGATTTTTGGTACCGATTTAAACAAACATTCAATATCATATAATTGATAAATTGAGACATATGTAACACAGTAACTGCAGGGTAATCTAAAACGTTTTATTCATCTCTTCTGATAGTTATTCTAAATATTTTCGTCATGCACCTGAACGACACAGTGATACATTTCATTAACCTTACTTGAAGATTTCCAGCATTTAGGCGGCATGATTTCACGGATGTATAACACGCGAAAGATATACAAACACGAGGTGCCTCTTCGCTCTATCCTAGACATAACCAACTCTCCTTAACATGCTATCTCTAAATAGCTACTATGATCACTTCAACCTTTGTGTGACCAGGTAGCAAAATATCATGTAGTTAGTAAAGAAGTAAATGATTTTAAAGAAGATTTCACGACAACTTGACGTCATTCAGAGAACAATTATAAATGTTTTTGCACTGAAAAGCTGCCGTAGGTGATGGAGCCTAACAATTATTCCTTCGATCCAATGTTGTGGTTGGTGTTAGCTGTTGAAGAGTCTCAATTTAGAATGAGACAGTTGTCCAGTGCTACTCTTTTCTTAAATCTACATTGAAACTTTACTGAGCACGTTTATTACGTTTTTTTATTGATTCTAATACCCCTTTACACCTTTATGAACCTCTTTTATCAGTTGAAAGATTGCTCACCTTCAACAACTAGGGTTTAAGTTCATTTTGAAAAAAATACATAATTATTGACTTTATAATCTTCCTAGTGATGAATTTCATCGAAGTGTAAGATAAATCGTTTTACATTTGAGGCTAGTCAGCTGCATTCTAATGAATGACGGTTTCTCTACTGAAACTCGAACACAACATTCATTGTATATATGAATTTTGTAGGTTCTCTTCAACTACCCTAAAACTTGTACAATATTATGTAAATAATAAGAAAGGAATAAGGATGGGATAAAATAAATGAAGATAATTATACATTTGGGAAATATAGGGGATAATAGGGAGGAATACTACATTTTCACACCTCACTTGGTATTAAAATGAGATAAAGATTACTAAATTAGGTTTAAGATAAAGACAAATTGTTTTTGAATATACAAAAGTAGTTTGAACTTTCCTATAACTAAGGCCTCAATAAAGCTAAGTGTACGGTCTTGAAGACTCCCATACAATGATCTAAAGGTTGTTTTGGGGTCATTCTGTAACCTTTACTGTGTTTCTCTTACCCCCCCCCTATTTTCACCCTTATATAAAATGCCTTGACAAGTTAATATGTGATCAGATTGTTCCAAATGTATTAGCCCAATACATCATACACTTCTCAGATAATCTCCGTCTTCTCATTACACTTTACAAATTCATGAAAAGGTGACTTACTGTTTCAAAAATCAGTGAAGTTGTTAAAGCTTCACAAAGGCTAAGTGTTTATGAAGGGATAGAATGAATACTTTACAGAAGACAATTTAAATGGAAAAGGTTATAGCCGATGGTATTCAAGATCTATTCAACCATGAAAATAGTCCATGTGTAATAGATTTAACCATGATGTTATTTCTTCACCAGTTGTCGAATACTACTACGTGCAACACTCTTCATTCTCTTTTGTCTTGAGAGAATATTCATTCTGTCACATCATGAATAATCAATTTTTGAGCAGTCTTGATAACTTCATTAAATTTTATCATTTAAGATGAGCCTTGTATATCAATGAGTATATTCTTTTCGACTTACCAAAGTAAGCTATATTTCTTGTTTTTACATCATAAACATTCTATTCTATAAGTTGTAAAGCAGCTGAATAGAAAGGATTCATTGGAAGTAAGCATGTTAACTCTACTACTGTTATTAGTCTTGTTTTGATTGATCTTTGTTGGTATATGGGCTAGTATATGGATGTTAAGATATTGTCCATAGGATCATTATGTTAGACTTTACTTGTTCATAGCTACGATTATAATCTAGCACACTTGTTTCAAGTTGACATTCATTATGGATTGATATCAATTAGATGAATATTGTAAATCTGAGGGTATTGAACAGCTGTTTCTGCCTAGTATAGGACTCTTCAGCATAGTGTACCCATGACGTTGTCAGGGATCAAAGTTGTTGACAAAGTTTTTATATTATTCCAGCCAAGAGTTTGAATCTCTTATCAGAAATCTTCGTAAGTTAATCTGCTGTTTTACTCTGTAAATGTGAGGAAAAATAACAAAGAAGGCTCTCCAGTATCTGAGCTCTCCTCAAAAATTCATCAACGCAGGTTTAAGCTGAATATTTACTTATGTATTTCACGAAGTCGCAGCAGCGTGTAAGATGTTTTAGTTGGAAGTTATAGTTACTATTAGTGAAATAACGCAATCTTGTAAAGCATTTTCTTTCGTCAACTATTATTGAAATATATCTTTTAGCTTCGCCATAGTCTGAGGAGTTTCAACACATCATTCAACTGTCTCAAAAGACACTGTATTATATACTACTTGAATGCATTCCTATTAGTAGTATACACACCAATAGATCCTAACCGTTTACAAGGGAAGGTGTATTACAAGAAACTTTTGAACTCTTTCTCGTCATTCAAAATTTATCAGCCCATCTAACGGGAGTAAAGCTTAGAGTACTAAAAATAATTGACTAAGTCATTTAGGCAAAAAAATCATTACGCGAACCCCCGAAAGCTAGATATCCATCCATCCATCCAGATCAATCTAGGACAAGGCATTACTGCGTAACACTCCAAGTTGCCACACCTCATATCACTACATCAAGTAAAAAGGCAGTGAAGTGCAAGATGAAGATAAGAGAATGCAGTCAAAAGAAATATAAAGTACGAGAAGGGCGAAACGAAGAATGAGAAAGTGGTGAGATTCGGTATAGCGTCGTTCAGATGAGGATAATGTGTGTATACATCTGCGCCACTGATATCGGTTCTCAGCCATGTCATCTAGAGTCTCCAATCACTGGTTCCTCTTATCCCGCGGACCCCAACCACCTAGTCTGTATCGCCCCACATGGCTTAAACCAACAGTCAGAGACTTCATACATTGGTGGCATGTTTTAGTCTGGCCACCTCGAGCCTTTTTCCAGCATGGACCTACTTCAGCCAACACTGTGTGATGAGGCAATCGACGACTAGGCATTTGTAACACGTGTCCCACGCTAAACAGTATTTTGACAGCTAACAGGAAAGCATATAAAACTGGTTATAAAGTAACTTTCTGTAAAACAGTTATCTTGTGAGTGTATTTTTGATAATTTATCGAGATATAACATATGAAATATGCATAATTAAGTAAACAATTTTCTTTTTTTCACATGTCTTCCCATCAGCTACATCCAGCTAAAATACGTCTTATTCTCTCCTTTATATCATATCTGTATTCACTAGTTAGGAAAAATAGTATAGGTGGTTAGATGTGAAGTAGATTTTACATATACCTTATCTTTAGCTAGGTAATGAAATATATTTCTTTAGAAGTAGTATTCATCATGGAGTGACATCAGTTGGGGAACCATTGAAAATCTGGGAGCACTGGACAGCTGTTTAGTCCTAGTATGGGACTCCTCAGCAGTTCCACAACTGATGTCAGTCCATGATGAATACTACTTCTACATTAAAAATCTCCATTTATCTCAAAAATAAATATATTTCTGTTTGTCGAATTGATAAAATTCAACTAACAGTTTAAATAATAACGGTGTACATCTTTGAATGT